CCTGGCAATCTATGCTATGGCAACGCCGTTTTCAGGTGTTGGAGTTGGCTCAGCTGTTTTACTACAGAACCCCCAGACTTGGGGACGTTTGCATCAAGCTAGTGGGGCCTTTCTCTCCTCCTCAAGTCCTTGCCTTTCGACGAGGATTCAAGAACTCATGGATGTCTGGTCTCACTTTGATGAGAGACAGCAGGACGATGTGGGCGATTTTGTTGGACACTTATGGTCCACGGCCTCCCCGCAAAGCATTGGCGGAAAAATCTTCCATGTCAGGTTCAATGGAGTTCTTGAAGAACGTGAACAAGTCCCCCTTTACCTCTTATGCCCCCCCGGAGAAAGCAGAATTTCTCTTGGTGAACTCATCAACCTCTGGGCCATGAGGAGGCTGGACAGTGGGGCACCGACCTGTCTCATCCTCCACGTCCAAAGGTTTCAACTTCTTGATCAACAATGGACGAAACATCACAGAGCTCTGGAGGTTCCTACCACAGTGGTCCTCCCATACTCCAATGATGGAGTGAACATCTCATCATTGGAGGAGATTGGCAAAGCCATGGTGATCCAAAGCAAGTTCAAAGCCCATGTATTTGCCAGTGAAGGCCCACAACTCTTCAGGGAAGCCACCTCGACTACCTCCTGGTCTCCAGCGAGCTCCATGGGTCGATTGAATTGGAAGCTTCTTGTAGCTGTTCTTCCTCTTCTTCAAACGCGTCATGGATGAGCCACAACTGCAGAACCTCTTTCTCCTGCTGCTCTGTGAGCCGCGAGATAGGTTGTGGGTATTGGTTATTATCCACAAACCAAAAGGTGTTGTCAAGGGCATGAATGGTCGTGAAATGTCCGGTGTGGTGAGAGTCTCCATGGTGGAGGACCATGGCCACAATGCGATATCCAGCTTTGGAGATGAAGGGGGCCTTAAGCCTTTCCAAGAAGCCAAAGAGGTTGGCTAAGATCTCCGCATTCAGAGGTGACTGCAGATTCTCTCCCGCGCGGAGGTACAGCTGAATGATGGCGATGTGGAGGTCTTCCTTCTGATAACCAACAGCCATCCACCCGTCGCCTTCCTTGAGAAAACGTTGGAGGGTGTGAACATGATGGCGCGGAGCGTGTAGACAGAGAAAGCCCCCAGTGTTGCCCCCTCTGCCCGTGTCGGAGGCAGGCGTTCCCAGAGCGTTCCATCCTCGAACCACGAAGTATTGCAACGTTTCTTGAAGCTTGCGTTCACTCAAGTGGGTTTCCTTGAACTTTCTTGCCAAAGGTGGTGACATTCGCGAAGCATAGGTGAACCTCCTCGTCGATCTTTTTGGCTGGAGGTTCTGGGGTGTGGGGAGGTACCCTGGAAACCTCACTGTGCGTTGATGATCAAGTACAGCTGCAATCAAGTTTCCATCCCGGCCCAACAGATGAGGTCCTTCCCGCCTATTGGAAGAGCTCTCAACCCACAACATGGCTGGTCGGAATTTTAAGAACAAAATTGATCTTTCTACATCTTAAACTACCAGATCACAGGCCTGGGAGGGTGGTGCGCGAGATCTGAACTCCACCTCACTCAACAGATCCAGAAGCCCAAGCTTGGAAGAGGCTCTTAGGTGCAGAAGGACATTCCTTGGCAGAGGCCCTTCCAAGATCTACCACTTCTCGAAAGACTTCAAGCAAGACAAGAGCAGTGGGGAGCGATTTGGTGTCTAGTTAACCGTGCCACATAAGGGGGTTCAGAGAACTACGTGAAGATGCCATGGCACAAGCTCAGACCCTGCAGAGCATCAACCCGATCAGCCTGCAGCGGACGATCAAGAGATTGCCCCACAAGGCTTCTGGTCCAGACGGGGTCTCATACGACTTCCTACGGCCTGGCCCAACTTGCTAACCTGCTGAATCAAATGGAGCAGGAGGCCCTGCTTCCTACACAGCTTCGTATGGTCAACATCGTCATGATTGCCAAGAGTCCCAAGGTCGAAAGACCAATCGCCCTGACCTCGTGCATGTACAGGCTTTGGAATCGGGTCAGGAAGCAAGACATAGTCAGGCGGCAGCTCTCCTTGCCATGCCGTGGGATCACGCCTGTCCAAAGAAGGACTGCCTCTCCATTGCGGTAGGAAGGATGCTACACACTAAGCTTTGCAAGCGCAACCAGATCCACACTGTCACTTGCTTAGCTGATCGCGACAGCCTCATCCAGCCGGCCAGTGAACTTGAGTGCCCACTGCTGCCTTTAAAACTGGCCATTGACCTTTCCCGGGGGCCACGCGTCATCCAGGCAGAGGGGATTGCAACAAATCCACAGCACTGCCGCAAAGGGATCCTCCAGGGCTGCCCTCAGGCTCCTGCCGTTGCAAAACTGGTCCTCTACCAGCCACTCAATCTGCAGCGACAGCATCCTGCAGTGATTCTTCAGACATGGGTCGATGACGTCTCCTTCGACATCCGTGCTAAACACCCCACCTATGTCTCAAGAGGCCCTACAAGCCTATCGGAACCTTCGGACAGCCCTCGCACAGGCTGGCCTGCGGCTCAACACAAACAAAACCGGCCTCATCACCAGCTCAAAAGAAACGGCCACAGCCCTGAAAGCTCTCCTAGAACCCGGTGACCCATCTCACTACGACGTCTTCCGGGACCTGGGCATCGATGCAACAGCTGCCAAGCGGCGACGGGTACCACAGATACGAAAGAGGTTCACCAAAGGCAAAGCAAGAGCCGGCATCATGCATCGATTGAAGCCCAATAGCAGCGTACGCTACAGGCTTCATCGTGGAGCAGTCCACCCTGTGATGACCTGGGGCGCCCAGGCGAACGGCCTGGCCCCGCAACTCAGGGTGACGGCGGCCAGGGGACTTCGCTTGCAGAACTCCGGATCCATTAACATTGTCTTCGACATGAACAAGAAGCACTAGACCCAGGCGATGCCATCATCCCACACGATCTGGAAGATCTATCACAGCTTTGATGATAGCAAGCAGCACCTATTCAGATGAAGCTGGAACATAGCTCTGGGAGCTCTCCTGAAAGCCAAACACAAATGGCAAGTTGCGACTGGCCCCATGCAGGCCTTACAAGCCTATCTTCTGGACTGTGGCTTCGACATTCAAGATGGCCAG